CTGCTGCTGAGATTTTTATTCAGCTGGCTTTGTCTCTGAGCTTCCTGTATTTTGCTGTTGGGATTTAAGATGGCTTGCTTATTTGTTTTATTTTGCCCGTGGAATTTTTGCATGTATTGTTAAATAAATTAAAAAAAGGGAATGTAGCTCATCAGCTCATCAGCAGGTGTATTTATACATCTTAACTCTTTCTAGTGTAACTTGCATAATGTTTTCACAATGCTTGCTTATGCTGGTAGAAGTCAGACTCCATACACCAAGGGGAGAGCCAGTGTTTGGCATTTGGGCCCCTCACGTAAGAGAGACATTTGTGCCACCCTCTTTACAGGAAGATTATCTCTCAGATGCGATGCTTTGCCCTGTGGATACCTTTTCTGTTATTTTCCTCAGGGAGAGCTTATGGTGTTGAATTCGCTGCTGCTCCAAGTTTAGGCAGATCCATAAGTCCCTTAATTTGGCTGAAATCAACAGGAGCAGCATTATCAGCACAGATACCTTGAGTTGCCTCCTTCCCACATCAGTCCTGAATTTAAAATCTGATGTGTGCAGATCACATTGTGTCAGACTGATCCTGCAGTTGGTAGGTTTTGTATGAAGGGGCACACATGTAAATTGGTGATGCAGAAGGTGTTGGTGGGGTTACTGTCACAGCTGCCTGAGAAATGGACTTGTGGAAAACTTGGTCCTGAAATACCCCTTTGCTGTCTAATGTAGCATTTCCAAGCATAATTCCTTATAGCTGTGCCAGTGATTATTTGCATCAGTGGTAGTGGAACTGATCACAAAGTAAAATTACTAGGCTACTTAGGTCAGGTCAACCTAGGAAATTTTGTTTCATGGCTTAGAAAATACCTTTGACTGACAAATGCATTGTGTAAATACTTAAGAAATGGTAAGATGGCAAACCTATGTGTTAATGGATTAAAAAAATTACTTTTTTTGTCTCTATGAATTTTGATTAGGCTTTCCATGACACAGAATGAATGTTTCTTACATAGGTTGCGTGTCTCATTCTGTACCATAGATGGATGTCACTGTCTAAATAAGTGATTTTTTTAAAAACTATTTTTCTTCTAATCCATGTAATTCAGTATATGGTCCAGTGTTCTACCTATTGCCCAGCATTCAAATCCTGTACTGAGCACAGAAGTGACAGGAATATTTATTATTACTATTTAATATTAATAAAGTATGTCTGGTAGGAAGTGATCACATCCTAACACCCGTTTCTGTCAAGTGAAGGCGAAACATTGAATTCCCTTCGAGTCAATAAGAATTCAAAAGAATAAAAAAAACACCTCATTTTCTTTATGTATTTTCTAAGATTTCTGTCTCCTCCCAACAACAGTTTATAATAACTTTTAAAACAGGTAGCACGGTTTTTTGTTACATAACATGGCTTTTAATATGTCTGCTTTGTGATTCTTTTGTGCCACCACTCAAATGAGGCACAAGTTAAGGCTTAATATGCTGTGGGGCATTGTTGTCCTCCCAAGAGGATGGTTAATACTTTGTGAAGCCCCCAAATGGTGCTCACAGAGAAAAGGCAGGTTCATACTTCTGGTGACCTGTTTGGAAATGAAATATTTTGCATCAGTTTAAAAACCCAGCCACTGCAGGATCTTAGATTTCTACCGTTTCTCGCAAATCACATTTTAAGAGAATGGAAATGAGATGCAAAGTTTAAGACCAGTTCACCAAATTAAAGGTTTTAATCACCATGTATGCTGAGCACAAAGCTTCTGTTGAAGGTACTTAAAGCTGTGAATAGTTCCAGTGCAACTGAAACCTGAATGCCTCAAGTTGGGTACTTAGAAGAAAAGGACTGTACAACTAATGATCAGCTGAAAATGTAATTTGCATGATTTGCCTCATGTAGGAATCATACATACAGTTGTTGCACAAGCAGTATGGGAAGATTTATACAGGAACTCCATGGCAGATGGAGGGATGGAGTACAATGCAGCACTGAGCTGCTTTAATCTCATTTCTGTATGGGCAGACTTGGGTTATACCCAGTAGAAGATTTATGCACATACCAATTAAGCACGTTGATGCTGAATTCTGAGGTGAGCAGGTCCTTTATAAAGCCTGTTCAGATCTAAGCACTTGAAGAGCTGGTAGGAAGGCAAGCAGAGTGCTGAGGAGCTGCCTCAATCTAATCCCACCACAGCCATCTGCCCTGGAGCCAGCACCTCAGGTGCCCCCTGCAGATTACATGTGTATCTCAGACCGATCACCAAGAACTGAATCACTTTGAAAAAGGTGGCAGTAACTTCTGATATAAAAACCTAATGGAAGTCACTTCTCCTTAGTTGCTGGGACAGATAGGGCGGAGTGGGTGCTCCCAAAGGATGTTCTCACCCAGGCTTGCACTTTTTGTGCATTTTACATTATGCCTCTGGCTGAGTCACCATGAAGCCCACACTCCATAGATAAAATGGAATCCAAACTATTGACATTTTACAAATTATAAGCATCAGAAAATAGGTTCATAACGAGAAGTGTAGTGCAATGTTACCCTGGGAGTGTTCTTGCCTAATGAGATGGGAGTGGAGTTTGTACTGGTGCTCCTATAACTCTCTTCCATCTTTTAATTTCCTCAGCTGAAGTTCTACTGACACGTCGTTCTAGTGTGGGACACCTATACTTATTTTAATAGCTTTGCTGAAAGGTATTTTTAAGTTACAATTTTCCAGAGGAAAAAAAAAAAGTGCTATTTGTGGTTTCTTGTGTGGAAGAATTGTATGATACAAGCTGAAATTATGCAGAGTATTACTGTATGTATTACTGTACTGATGTACAGAAAGGTTATTTTTAAGTCATATGGCTGTATATACCTACACGTTTTGTAAATTGCAAAATTTATAAATATTAGTTAAAAAGTGTACATATGATGCCAGATTAATAGGGATGCTTTATCAGCTGTCTGTTAAAGATGTTAATACTTGCACAGATGGTGTTGTGTAAAGGAGCTTTTAACTGTAAAGTGAGCGTAAAAGTTTCACGTATATTAAATCCTCTACACATTTTTTCTGACTGAACAAGGACTTGTATGAAGTGGTAAGCAGCGAAGCAAATGCAAACCTTTGGAGGTGGCGAATGATGCGTGTGGGCAGCTCAGTTCCAGAGCGCTGAGAGCGCTGGGAGCCCCTGCGGCTGCTGGGGTGCTGCTGTGGCCGTGTCACAGCGACAGGGATCCGTGCCCTTGTCCTTCAGGCTGGGTCCTCAGTTCATTACAGAAACGGCACTTTTGCAGCGATAATAAAGCCATCGTTAATTCTGCAAACCCTGGTTTGGCCAGTGCGTTTAGAAGTTACTTGGACCAAAACAGAGCTCCAAATTGTGTGTCCCTGTGAACCTCCTGCGTTCTCTAGGATCTTTAACTTGCCTTTACGTCTAGTGAGGCTTATGCCATTCATTTTCCTTTCTAGTAGTGAAGCTTACACAGAGTATTTTTCCTTTTTAACTACCGTGTTACCTAGAGAAGCGTATAGCGGCGTCTGGTAAATGAGTAGGACAAAAGGACCAGGATGTCCTTGGCAGCCTTGAAGAGGGAAACCTGGTGCCTGCTGTGCTGTGGTGGATGGTTGGGAGCCTTGTGCCCTCTTGTGGTCAGCACACCAAGGGAGAGGCTGGCCCTGTGATCCGTTGGGGCACAATCAGTAATCGGTTTGGAAACAAAATGAGCAGGGAGGTTAAAAATCATCAGCTGCTTTAGATACAGACAAGAATATCCATTCTTACATGTACAAAGATAAGCCAGGTAATCATTTGCCCCATTAGCACCGTAGTCAGTTAACCCAGTAATACTGGCATCTTTAAATCTGTGTAAGAACAACATGTCAAAACTAAATATAAGAAGAGGCCAAGAAAAAAATTACTTGATATAGTGCTAACATGATAAGGCTGCCAATGTTGTTGAAATGGGGGGAAAAAATCTTATTTTGTAGTTCTTTAAACTTGAAAAGGTTTAAAATGTCAACTTGAGCTATACATTCATTACAATAATAAATTGTCTTCAGTGGTAAAGCTCCCAAGTTTTAAGTTGTGTGTATGCTTGTGCAGAGTTGTGATACAGTCATTCTTAAGTTTATCTTTCTATTTCAGTGCCTGAAATAAGGTTTATCCTGTGGAGGGCTCAGTAGCACAGGCAGTTAGCAGAGAAAAAATATCCCAACAACCTTTAGCAGAGAAATCATATTCAAACAACCTTAGAAGTGAGACTTGGGGCACTGTTAGAAATATTCCTAGTTTTCAGTCGTACATGTGATGTTGAAAGGAAAGATCCCTGTTAGCAAAGGGTTCAGCATGAACATTACTTGCTTTATTGTGCTTAAGTGTACTGAATTTTCAGCATTTCTGCAAAACACATAATGTCTTTTGAGCTATTTGAATTGGCAAACAAAAGCAGCAAGAGCTTTTTCAGGCCTTGGAAGAAACAATATAGACAAAGGCTGTATGACACCAGGATGGCACATGTGGGTGGTAGGAGGGGGGGAGAGCATGGTTTCTGATCCCCTAACCAAGGGCAACTGCCCTGCTCTTCCCTTTTCCTCCCTGTCTTCACAGTGACATATCTGAACAAGTTCAGTATGCTTCTTGTGATGGTAAGCAGTAGTTTTTCAGTTCATTTAAGTGGACAGTTGCATCAAGTGTTTTTTTCCCCCCCTATATGTTCCTTTGAAGGGTGGTTGCATACATTGAATACGCCAACTGGAGATTGACCCTGTAAGATGTGAATTACATGGACAGTGCTTTTCTTAATACTTACCCTGTTTTATGTGTCCCTTCAGAAAAGAGGAGTGGAAAAAATACTGAAATGGGAGTGTAAGACCTATAGGTCTTGTGGATGTGTGGTTGTAAATGGTGCAGTAGCTTCCTCTGCTTAATTACTTAGGATGATTCCTACACAGACCTTATTACTGAAATGAGCTTTGGGTGGAACATCTGCTCCCCAATGTTTTTTACACTGTTGCTCTCCTTTGTCCCTTGTAGGTATGGAGAGTGCAATCACACTGTGGCAGTTCCTTTTGCAGTTGCTGCTAGACCAGAAACATGAGCACCTGATTTGCTGGACGTCTAATGATGGAGAATTCAAGCTACTCAAGGCAGAAGAAGTGGCTAAGCTGTGGGGACTCAGAAAAAACAAAACTAATATGAATTATGACAAGCTGAGCCGAGCGCTCAGATACTATTATGACAAGGTAAATTTTGTTATTCTCATGCAGACTAAGAAAATAGAAACACTACCATTTACTATTTCACCTCTATGTGGGAGCTATTCAACTGTTCCTCTAACTAGTTTTTACAGTAGACAACAGTATTGAAGGCAATCCCAGTGGAGGTAAGAGGGCAGCTAAAAGATGCACAGGAAAACACTGCACATCCCATTTCCTGAGGAGGAGAGGTTTTGATCTAGGCTTACACATACTGATGCTTTCATGTCTTTATGCATTTGGCTACCCAATATTTTCTGTAGCTTTTGACAACAATAAAATAACTGTTGATAACGGAGAACTGTTTGATTATTGCAGCCTGCATAGGATCTTCTGGAATACAGGGAGGTGGTAGAATGCAGTGATGCTGCCAGGCAGCAGGCAGGAGGGCAGCTTTACCAGCAGGTTAGCACTGATGTCAGAACATGGTAAAAAACCCACACAAACAACCCTGCAGCACAGAGGGTGGGGTTGAGTTTTCAGTTTTCTTGGGACACATCTTTTGGACCATAGATCCTGTTGGCCAGTGTTTTAGCTAGTCTTGCCTGAGCTTTCTGGTAAATCTTTTCTGCAATTGTATTGGGTCCTAATTTATTAGCTAGAAACACAGTGCTGAGGCACTTCAAGAGTTACAACAGGACAGTATCACCTCAGCAGCATCTCACCATAACTACTCCTTTGTTAATGCTCAGTGTTTCTAAGAGTTCGGAAATTTTCCCCTATGCCATTTCAGGACAAAATTTGTGTTAGTTTCAACAGTAGTCTAGTTCATATGTTGCTGCCATTTAATTAGCAGCATATATATGAGGGGGCACTAATGTGATTTCTTAATGGATGAAAGTGCAGAATAGAAGTACTGAGCAGAGGAAAAAGTGGCTGGTCAGTTGGTGGGTGTTGGAACAGGGGTATATTTGGTTCTGTTTGTCAAGGTAGTAGTCTCATGCTGAGCTCATACCAGGTGAAGACTCTTCCTTGTTGTAGAATGTTACATTTACTCCCATCTGGGAACTTCTCTCCTGGGTATCTCAAGTCAAAATAGCGGAGTATGTGCTTTGTTAGAGGGTTCCTCATCCAGTTTTTCTACCCTTGCAAGACCTGCTGAATTTTGCCCCTCCTTCACAGGTACATCTGTTGAGGTTTGATAGAACTAGTAAGACGCAAGGAGTCAGCACAGTTTAGGCAGCAACTTTATAGCTGGCAAGCTGTGGTTATTTGTGTGCTCTCCGAAGCTGGTTGCAGGCAGTGTAGGCATCCACTCAGTGCAGTGAAAGCTCCACTCTCAACCTCCTCATTTAAAACTGAAACCTGAAAGAATAACTTGTTGAACACAGTAATTGGAATTATTTAGATCACTCAATTTGCTTCTGATTTTCAGACATCATGAGCTTGCCCACAATCTAGAACAGGTCAGTAGAGGTTACTGGTAACTAGCACCTCTGAAGATAATTTTCCTACGGTATAGTAGGAGCTCACAAGATCACTGTCACTGTCATGAAACAAGCCTTGACTTTGACATTTAGTCCTTGGTCTTATTCTTCAGCGTGAAGCAAGGTGGCAACAACACAACAGAGAATGGGAAAATGAGAACAGAAAGTAACCAGGGTATGTATTAGATTGCTGTAGCTGAAAAGCATTTGAAGGAAATGTCTCAGATGTGTAAAGATACTAGAAGGAAAAAATTGTTGAACACAAATATGGAGGTGCTAAAATATCTTGAATATTCACCTTTCTCAATTTTAGTCTTCAACAAACTCAAGGAATTTCCAAATTGTCTCTCTAGCATTTTTTGGATGTACATTATATTGTTTTTACTAAATAATATTCAACCATTTCAGGATTAGTTCCCCTTCAATGGATTTTTTAAACAATATGTCTAAATTAATAGGTTTTACTATTTCCTATGTTACTGGAGATTAAATATTAAAAAGAAAGACGGTTATAGATTTTGTATATTAAAAAGGAAGACTTCATAGCCATGCTCAGTGGTCTGTTTTCATCTTGATTTTCAGAAAAGGCAGTGAGAAGTGATTATACGGTGAGTAACCCCAGTGCTCAGCACAGTAATGGCATGCTGGCTGCCTGCACAAGGCAGAGATCTATGCTGAACTGAGCTCAGGGTTCTGTTTTCATGTAGTATTTGTAGTGCACTAATTCTTCAACAGCACAGTGGAGCTGGGTGCTATGCAGCCAGTCTAATGTAGTGGGCAAAAAACATAAAAGACTGCAAATTAACTGTGCACAGTCTGATGAGCAGACTTTTCATTGTTCACTTTGGAAATGGGAAGGACTCCTTGTACTGTAAGAATTTTTTTAGTTTCAGATTTAGAGCTGGAAGTTCTGCAAAGAAATGTTTTTAGTATTTTGTCCACTAGAAGTCAGATTTTTCCTTTTAATGTTTCAAAGGTGGCCTGACTGAGAAAGCACAAAAGGATTCAGAGAGGACAGTACAACTGCTGTTCCAAGCAATTGGTGTGATGAATTCCCCTTCACTATGTGCTAAAAAGGCTTCTGCTCAGCATGGGGGAGCTGTCTTCATTATATGACTCCAACCCTTCTGATTATAATAAACATGACCGGGATCAATGGAGACAGAGCACCTGCTGGTGAATTAACAGCATATCCAGGCAGAGCCCAAATACACAGTTAGTGACTGAATAGATATGGCCAAAAAACAGGACATGAGATATTTGTAGCACTTGTCATTTGAGATCTATCTGATCTCTTCAAATCAATGGAATATAATGGCTCCTTAGTTGAGGCTCTCTTTCTTCTTTTATCTCTTAACCTTTCTTTTTTACCCTTGTACTGTTTTCAGTTGCCCCCCACAGCACACACACACTGTCACCTGTTTTGTCTCTGCTCACACAGCATCTGCCAGTGGAGTGGCTGTAGTTTCTTCAGGGGGCTCTAGCTGAGGTGGTTGCTTGCTGTTCTTGACAGCTGCTGTCTTGGCCTGTGTTCTCTCTTCTGCCTGCTAATTTTATCTAGGTGTGGCACAAAGATTTTTGCTGTTTTCCAGTGGAGATCCTTGCTCCTACATGGAAAGAAGGATAAGATATTTTTTCTCCATGTATTGTGGTCAAGGTTTGAGCCCCAAACCAAAATCATGGCTATTGCTATTAAAATTGAGGGAGTGATTCCTTTAGCAGGAAGCAGTGGGAGGTTCTTATTTACTGTGTGAGTATGGTGTGTTGTGTACTGTTGGTTTTGAGGCAGTGGAGAAAGGCAGATTATTGAGGGTACAGAGGGGCAGGGGAACTTGTTTCAGGTTTTGAAGTGTGAGAGATACTGGCGTAAGATAGCAGATAATGAAACCTAGTAGGCTGGAATGGGGTGCTTAGCAGTGGGTTCAGACCTAAACCCTTCCTGAAGCCTTCAGTTCAGTTTATGCTGCATAGTACAGAAAGGGAAGAAGTTGAGGAGGGAAGGAAAGGCTCCTTGGCATTCTTCTTTCCCACTGCAAAACAGAAAGGGAAGGGGCTGGTGAGGTGAAACAGCCTCTCTCAGACTTTTGCACTCCTCTCCTCTGGACCATTCACACATTCGTGGGGTAAACCAAGAGCAGTCTGGACCCTGAGGTAGCCTGAAGGAGTCTTCTGAGATTCTTGTCCTTTCCCTTGATGTTGGCAGTGATGGATGTGTTGGCAGCTGGGTGTGCTGGAGCAAATAGGATAAACACTGGGCTGCAGGCTGGGAAGTGGCAGCAGGAAAGTGAGAGGTGGAACTCTGGATGAGACTGTCTGGGTTGTGCAATTATCAACAGGGATTCTCTGCCTGTAACCCAAATGATCTGGCAGCATGTGAGATGGAGGCAAAGGGCAGATTTTTTTTAGAAAAGATGATGGCACATGGGGTGGGCCTTCCTTTCTTGGACTGCCCTCTGCTGCTACTGCAGACAAGCTGCCAGTAGCTGATCTACTGCTTCATGGTTTGTCTTTGAAATTATTCACCGTGGAGAAATAAAAACTGATCACTGGATAAATGGAGGTTTATGAGCTCTGCCGTTTTGCTTGGGGGGAACATTGGCTTGATAAAATTCATAATCTGATTCATCTGAACTTAAAAGTAAATTAATTCCAGTACTGGAGAAAAATAAGACAATTAGGACAAGTTCCTTAGCCTGGCTTTGAAAGCAAGCATGACATGCTGTTGAGGCTGATGGCTGGATTTATGTCAAATTCACATATAAAGCACCTCAGGAAATGTAGCATGTGGCATGTCTTGATTGTAATTCACTACCATTATTCTGGTTGCTAAAGGTTTGTAGATAATCTGAAGACTTTCCATTTCCTGTTCCATTTGTTTCCGAAATTCCCCTCCCTGCTTTTTATCTAATAGATTTTCCCAGTTGAGCAGCAGAAGAGATAACAGATAGCACTGAGGAAAGGTATCCTGCACTCTCTCTACCTACAGCTTGAGCATGTCCATCATGTCACACGCCTCTGTAGGCCACACATTTCTTGTAATGCTTTGAGGCAAGGAAACCCTTCACATCTATTCCCACACAGAACACTTTAGCTTGATGTGTAGAACTACAACATCTGTGTAAGTAGGATTAGTAGGTTTCTTTTTTGTTGAAGTTTCCCAGTTACCTTGTTTTTCTGATAGCTGTATTGACAGATACCTTTTGGAAGCCTCTAGGGGTTTCAGGACTACCAAAGGCTACCATGAATATTTCAAAATGACACCACAAGAGGGAAGCTAGTGTGTTTTCCCCATGAGGGTTTTGTTTTGCTTTCTCTTGAGGGAAGGAGGACAAATCCAGGAAATGACATGCGAACACTGACATTAATAGGATGTAACAGTTGTGAAAGTCAAGCTCTCAGAAGCTAGGAAAGGCAAGAATCACAGTTCCCTGGGAGACCCTAATGTTTGCATGAATTATGCTGCATCTTTAATTACACAGTCACATAGTTTTGTGATGAGCTATTCAGTATTTTTGCATCCTCTCCGAACAGTGTGTGGCCCCAGACTTTACTCAGTGAGGGCTATTCAATCAGTCTTCTAAAGACAGGATAAATAATTTTTGTTGCAGTCAATGGCTGCCCACTTGTTGAGATGGGTTGGCAGTATGATTTGTAGTATATAAATAATACAGGCTTTATTGTGCTTTGATTCAGTGCAGGGGACAGAGCTTCTTAGGTGCTCTTAAGATTCAGAAGTGCCCATGGCATTCCCTCTCCTCCCCTAACAGGTCAGACACAGTAGCCTGGTTACTAGTTCCTGTTTTTTAATGCCCAAGTGTGGGTGGCAGCATGGAAGTATTGTCTTGGGAAGAGGGTCCCTTGCTTGGTCTGCTTACAGAATTTCAGGATAAACAGTGAGAATGGAAACTATTATTTTACTTATGAGAAGGTCTTAAGAGCTCTTGAGTTATCTCAGGGGAAATGGAATGTGACAATGAAACAATAGCAGTATGAAGCATTAGGAAAGAGCTTTACAGAGAACTGGAAGGAGCTTCTTTCAAGATGATGTGTGGAAGTCAAGGATTTGCTTGTCTGAAGTGGCATAAAAGCAGTTATTGAGTGATGCCCTTATGGAAAGATGGGAGTAAAGAATTTGATACTGAGAGGTGGTGGGTAGAGAAGAAAACTGAAGAACCCCCCCCAAATGGAGTGACAAGTAGTTAATGTTTGATGTGAGAGAAAAGAGATGCCCAGTGAACTGCAGCAGAGAGAGCAGAGCACTTGGCTGAAGGTGCCAGTGAGAGGACTGGCCTTTGCCTTCCAGATGGAGGTGAGTGAGGGAAGACTGAAATCCGGCTAAATGAGAGCCTTGCACTTCCAGTGGTCAGTACAGGTGCATGATCTGGTAGCATCTGTGCTTCCATCAAAATTTCCACAAAATGTAGCTTCTACACACACAGTATATTGAGCATAAGTGCATAAAGTATGATGTTAGCAGAATCTGCCTGCCTGCACGTGCTGATGTAGACACACTCCGTTGTCTGGACCAAGCCATGCAGCCACAGGTGCCAGCTTGTGTACGGCAGTCACTGGGGTGTGAGCAGCCCTCTCTCTGTGTAGACTTCCCAATAGCTGGAGGCTGCTTGTCTCCCTCCTCGTACAGTCCTGTGAGGAATTTGTGGTCTAAGTGTCCTTACACGTGTTACATCCCTCAGTACTCTTTGAGCCAAGGAAGCTGCAACACATCCAAATGGGAATTAAGTGCAGCAGCTACAGCTCTGGTCCTTTTCCATATTTTACCAAGCAGGGATGTTTAGTACCTATGGACGAGTCAATCCTGTTCTGCTGTAAATTTTGAGATCTCAGGCACCCTGATTATAGGTGACTTTCTGGGAGAAGGAAGAAACTCCCAATCTGGTCTTCTTGCCTCTGACCCCCTCCCCCCCCATTAGTCTGAAGTTCAACTAGAACTGTCGCCCACTTCCCAGCTAAATGTCTGAGTGGCTCCTGCAGCTGGCAGGTTTGAGCCAAGCCACTAAAATCTTGGTGTCACACTGGCAGTGTAGGCTCTTAATGGCTCAAAACAGGGAGTAGGAGTCAGGGCTGACAAAAATAAAACACATGATAGAAGCAAAGTCTGAGTTGCACCAATGCACAGGAGAACTAAGGGGAAAGAAGAAAATGGAAAGAAGCACAGAGGACATGTGTTGTTGAGGTGAGGAAACAGCTCCTGTGTAATTTGGGAGGGCTTCCAAAACTAGTAGTGCATATGCTTAGCTGACACCCCCCCCTCCCTCCCCCGTCCAACCACATTATATCCTAGTTTAAGCTGCAGGGGGAACCAGGCCACCGAGGTTTGGGCTTCTAGCTCAGCCAGCTGGCCTGTGAAGGACAGGGGGAGAGACCCATCCCTCCAGCTGGTGATTCAGAGCCCTCCGGTGAGGGGTGAGGCTGGTGAGGGGTGAGGCTGTTCGAGGAGTTCATCCCCTGGAGTGATGCAGAGTCCCTGAGCAGGGCTGGAGCAGGGGCTGCTGTGCCCAGTTCCTACCGGCAGCTTTCCAAGCGCTTTGCGGGGGGGGGTGGTCACATTTGCTGGGTTCACTGTCCAGAGACCGTGGCTGGAGGAGGGGAAGTGTAAAGCGCTCAGCTGATGAAACCAGTCTGCAGAAGAGTGGCATTCCCAGCTCCCTGCCCACTTCCCAGATGCGAGAGAGTCTTGCCTCTTCATAAGATTTTTATTTCTTTATTTTTTTAAAGCTGCTGGACTGGTGCCCCTGCTCCTGGCCCACCTGCCTGTGTCTGGTCCCCAGCAGCTTCCCTGGCTCAGCAGGCACCTTCCCCAGCAGCAGCCCCCATGGCACTCATGGCAGGGCTGCTCAGGGGGGAACTTACCTAGGCATTCCAAACAGCAAGAAAAAGAAAGCTAAATGCACTCCCTGTCCTGCTGCCAGGAAAGGGGTCTAGTCTCCTTGCAAGTGCAGTCCTTAATATAAGGAAGCCTTCTTTGCCCTTCCAAAGTGAGGATGGATGGAAAACCCCTCCTTGTCATGCTGCCTGCCACTGTCTGCTGTGGTTTGAACCGTCATCCACAGCTCAGAATGATTCTGACAGGTCACTGAAGGTGATGGTAAAAATAAGCTGCTTTTTACCTTCAATTATTTGTCAAAAAAATTTAGAAGTCAGTGGCATTTTGGAGGCACTTAGTTAATTTGCATCTTTATTTTCTCTTACACGCTTACATGAAATTTCCTCAGGCTCCACGTTCAAGAGAAGCCTGCAAAGTGCTTGAGGGATCTGCCCTTGAATCCTTTTCATCTCCAGTCATCGTTAAGTTGGCTTTTGCTGCAGGCTTATGGAGTCAGGGAGCTGCACTGAGAGATCTTCTTAAAATATATTTAATAGTAACAGAGGAAGTATAAACTCACCAGCCTGTTCAGGTGCTTTTCATAGCAATGTTTCCCTGTTCCAAGCCTTCACCAGTGTCGAAGTTCCACCCTTAAATACATTTAATGTTTTTCTGCTGGGAGTCACGTTTTCCAAGTAGGATCTCAGTTACCAGTGCTTGATGTAACAATAACTCAGAGCTGCCAGAAGCAGAGGGGAGGTGTTACTTTGAATTTTAAAATACGTATTAAAAAAGAAAACAAAATCCAGTTGAGATGTTTCTTTTCATATGCAAGTTGCTTGGAGGTTTTTCCCTTTTTCAAGAATGTAATATTGACAGTGCAGAAAACGTGCATCCATCCAACATTGCACCTAATTAGCATAAAAAATAATCTAGGCCAAACCCAAAGCCATGGGAATTAAAGCTCATGCAGACTGAGGTCCTGTGGGCTAACTATATGTCCTGAACTTTTGGAGGGCAAAAACAGGCATTTCAGGATCCAGCAGGTGGGTAGATGTGCCTACAGTTCGGGATGGAAGAGGGCAGTTTTGTGCCTTTAGTCTGAGCTTGCTGAATTTAATTCTCCTTGCTGCAGATCCCCATCATCAACTTGGGAAACAGCTTTCTCTGTCTGTGCCATAGCTCCTGACCTGTGAAGCAAAGCTACATCCCAGGGCTCTTTGTAAGATTAATTTTGTATTCAAAAAGGTGCCTGAATGAGATGCCACGAGAAAGGTGAATTACAGAGTGCTCAGCTGAGAGACAGGTGTTCTGATACCCAACCGCAGGCTTTTCTTTCCCCAAATGAGCCTTGCTTTTCTGACAGAAGAGTTGTAGTGCAGGCACTGCAAGCACCCAGCACTAGGTAGTGCTCTTACCAGTTTAACAAATGTTTCATCTACTGGTCTCAGAATCTGTAGTAGAATGAAAAACAAAGTTGATTTTTAGGAATATTGTGAATATTTCCATTCCCATATGTATAGCAAAGCAAATGTCAGTCTGCAGAGTTATCAGCTGGAGGTGCAGCAGTTGTGTGCTGCACTAAAGGGAAGCTTCTTGAAAAGGGGTTTTCAGAGGTGACTTAATGTTCCGTCAGGGGCTTCAAGAAGAGAGAAATCACCCTGGAAATATCAGGAAATAATTCTTTCTTGTCTTCCACAGCACTTGGCTTACGTTGGTAAATGCTCCAGTCCTTTTCATAGGCCAGGCCAGCCCCTGGTGCCATGAAGTGCCTCTGTGGAGGAGCTCACATCATGTCTCTGGGGATACCACACATTGTGTTAGGGCAGACAGTGTGCTGGGGTTTGCAGTCGGGTTTGCTAGGAAATGGGACCCTCACAAAAGATTTCAATTTCAAAGGGAATCTGTTTTTTTTCATGAAGGGAACACTTTACTATGGCAAATATGAAAAAACCCCCACAAACCAAACCCCAAATAGTTCTACAAACCCTGGAGACGTTTGGGATTTTTTTTCAATAATTAATTCCAGTAGCCAGTTAAGACTGATGAAAACTTTCTGCCTGCACCGGTGAGCATCCTGAGCCTAATGCAAACCTGGAGATAGCAAAGGGGATGCAGCAGGACACAAGTACTTTTCCAGCCCATGCAAATTATTATTTGCATTATTTGCATTATTTGTCATGGACGTAGTTCATGACTGTTGAGAGGATAGTCACTGCCAGCCTAGGTCAGTCCTTCTGCACATGGTCTGGAAATGAGGGTAAATGACTGGAGCAGGAGGCTGAGGTTGTTTTGTGCCTTGCATACATTCCAAGAGTATTTCATACAGTTGGTGGCAGTTTTGGGAGGCACAAACAAAGGAGTTTGCCTTCACTGTGAGACACAGATTATGACATGGCTCAAGTCTACAAGGCAGCAGAATTGTTTTTCCTGGAAAGAGAATATTCTCAAGATACCTCAGAGGAAGCAGGAGGGAAACATCCCATGAGCAGTAATGGTGATTTTGTTAGGCACTTTGAGGAGCAAGGGGGTGGTCTCCCTGGCTGAGCAGAGGTATGGGAAAGAGCCGAGGATGAGCAGTGTTATAACCTGCTCAGCTTGAGGAGGGAGCAGTGTCCCTCTACCCTTATGAGCTCCCTTATATTTGGCGTACTTAGAGCCTCTAAAATGCTGATCTTTCTAGCATCTGCTTTTGTATTTGCAGAACATCATCAAGAAAGTGATCGGACAAAAATTTGTGTACAAGTTTGTCTCCTTTCCTGAGATTTTAAAAATGGATCCACATGCTGTGGAAATCAGCAGAGAGAGCCTTTTGCTGCAGGACAGCGACTGTAAGATGCCTTCTGAGAGCAGGGATCAGCACAAGCACAGCTTGTCAGCACTGAAAAGCGCGAGCCGTAATGAGTATATCCACTCTGGCCTGTATTCCTCTTTCACTATCAACTCTCTGCAGAACCAGCCAGACCCTTACAAGCCAATCAAAACAGAAAAACTGGAGGAGAAGGCAGAAGTAAACACACCAGTGGAAGAAGTTCGGACCGTTATAAGATTTGTGACAAACAAAACAGACAAACAAGTTTTGAGGCCCATGGTGTCGTTGCCTTCCACTTCTGAAACGGCAGCTGCCTCAGCTTTTCTCAGTTCATCAGTGTCAGCAAAATTATCTTCCTTAATGCTACCCAACAGTGCCAGCATTTCATCTCCATCATCATCTTCCTCCCGGTCGCCGTCTCTGTCTCCCACCTCACCCCTCCCTGCAGAACACAGGAGCCTCTTCCTTGAGTCCAGTTGCCATGACTCAGATTCCCTTGAGCCTCTGAACCTCTCCTCAGGCTCCAAGGCAAAATCTCCATCTCTCCCCCCAAAGGCTAAAAAACCCAAAGGTTTGGAAATCTCTGCCCCACCTATGGTTCTCTCCAGCACCGACATTGGTTCCATCGCCCTCAACAGCCCCGCACTTCCTTCAGGATCCCTGACTCCAGCTTTCTTCACTGCACAGGTGAGACCTGCCTATCTCCTGTACTCTTGCTTTAGCCAGGTGTTCCCTCTCTGTGGCCAAGAGTCTTAGCTCTAAGGGTCTGTCATCAACTGATGGAAAAAAACACACTGTGTGGGGAAGAGGAAAACATGGCAGAGGTCTGAACAAAGGGTGGAAAGTAGGTTCCTCCTGGAGTTCCTGCCTGAGTGGGAAAAGCTATCGCAGTTCACAGGCTGCCTGGAAGGATAATGAGATGGGCAGCTGTTAGTTAACTAGAGTGAATTACTTATCAGTTCAAACCAGCCTCCAGGTCTACAAAACAAGCAGGAAACAGCCAGCAAGAAAAACAGGGTTTTGTAGGTCATGACTTGAGCATGTGGGGTGCTTGGTTAGAGTTCTCTACTAGATCCATTCAAGCAGTGTGACCTTTTAATTAGTTTTTTAATACGGGGTAAATGAAGTGGTTTCTAAGACAAGGCTCTTAAGCCAGTTTCAATTTCCAAAGTTTTTCAGATCCATGGAGTACTTGCCAGAGCTTGCTTTCAGCACAGGCCTACTGAATAACCAGCAGGTTATTTTGTTCTTTTTAATCTTGTATCTGTTGTAATGTCAATGATGAGTTCTCATTTTCAGGCAAGTCTATGAAAAAAGTCTAGCAGCTTAGAGAAGCAGAAAATCAGATTGATCACACACCTGGTGTGTTCATTGTTGAGTTTGTTCTTACACTGCCACAGAAAAATGAGACTAAAAAACCCAAGAGTAAAATTATCTCAATGGGGAACACCCCCTAGCATTACCCTCTCACCCCAAAATAAAAATTGATGCAAATACTAGCATTGAACGTAACAAACTGAACAGCAAATAAGTACAAAGGTGTGTGCTACAAGCTCTGGTTTGCCTCGGGCTGTCTAGGGGTCACATTGTGTACAGAATCCCTGTACCTCTCCACTGTTTGAAGGGGTTTTGCACAGATGATGCCTGTAGGCCACTGAGATAAGAGGTTGTGTCACAAAGAAAAAGCTTTTTGTGGGCCCTTATCTGTCATTTTTGACATTGGAAAGCCTTTAAGTGAAGTTAACATTTGGCAGGAAGGACAGAAGTGTGGCAAACCAAAACTGAGCTGCATTGATAGAGTCTCATAACCTCTAACTGTGGTATAACCACAGCAGGTATTTGGCTTGCAGGAAGCCAATCTGACAAATCATATCAGATGCCAACCAGACACAATGACAGCATGAGTTATTACAAGCTTGATTTAATCTACTGCTGTTCCCAAACTCAGTATGAACAGAGATTTCTTTCCTCATTTTGTAATTATTTCTTTGAACACTGAATTTTCTCATTCCTCTATGAACCGGTGTACTTACTACCCTTGAAAGACATTGAAGGTAATTAGAGCTTTTTGTGGGCCCTTATCTGTCATTTTTGACATTGGAAAGCCTTTAAGTGAAGTTAACATTTGGCAGGAAGGACAGAAGTGTGGCAAACCAAAACTGAGCTGCATTGATAGAGTCTCATAACCTCTAACTGTGGTATAACCACAGCAGGTATTTGGCTTGCAGGAAGCCAATCTGACAAATCATATCAGATGCCAACCAGACACAATGACAGCATGAGTTATTACAAGCTTGATTTAATCTACTGCTGTTCCCAAACTCAGTATGAACAGAGATTTCTTTCCTCATTTTGTAATTATTTCTTTGAACACTGAATTTTCTCATTCCTCTATGAACCGGTGTACTTACTACCCTTGAAAGACATTGAAGGTAATTAGGTAGATGATTGTGACTCTCCTTCAGCTAGCTAAGGAAGTGATGATTGTTATCTGACTTAATACTATTACAAATCCTTTTTTACAGGTTGTCCTATCACGGAAGATATAGGTGAGGCCCATGTAGTGTCTGTTAATTTAGAGTTTCAAGTATACAGCAACATAGGTTTTTCCCTTCCTTTTAGCTTTCTATTTCCAGTGTGGATAAGAAGCATCCTGCACCCTAAATACTCAACCTAATGAATATAAAATAAAATCTACACAATAACTGTGTTCGAGTAACTGTAAGGCCACAATGCAAAATACCTAAAGCCATAATTTAGGCTGGAAGTCTTCTCCTAGGAGGAAGGTGCATCATATCTCAAATGATCTCTGATTTCTCAGGTCCCAGTGGTAGACACCTACTGCCATGGGGCAGGTGAAGAATGGGGTGTCAGGCACTGACTGGTTCCTGCTCCAAGAGCAATGCAGGTTCAGAGAGGGTCGTGCTGCCTGAGAGGGTATTTCAGATGGCTTTCCATCAAGGAGAACCCTCAGGTGGAGCCCTGTGAAAAGACACATGATATAAACAACCAGTTTCAGAACAAAAAAATGAGTTGGGAGATGTCAGTGCATACAGTACCACGTTGGTGAATAAATGTCAGCTTTCCATTTGATTAGCTTCAAAGAGAGATACTTAGATTTTTTCCAGTACTTGCTTCTTTTACAGATTACTTTTGCTTGTTATTTTTGTTTGCTCTCCCTTGGCCAGTATGGATATATAATTTTGACTCATTCTTTTTCTTCAGACCTCTACTTCAGCATTTGTAATGTTGACAACATGCTGTTTCCTTGCAGGCAAAGTACTGTGGCTGCAGGCAGCATGTGTGTGGTCTGTATTATAACCATATACACCATACAGGCTCCAGCACGTGCCCAGTGACCCGGGAAGTGATGCACGTGTGACAGCACTTGGCCATTATCTGACAGCTGGAAGTGACCGGAAAGATTGTACTTAAACACATTCTTTGTCAGAGAAGTCAGGAGCCATGAGCATCATTGCTTAACATAATCCTCCCTGTGCAGTGAATTCGTTCTATTCAAACTGTTCCTATGCTTAGATTATAATGGCCTTCGTAAAGTAGGAACTTCCCACTGAGTTCCACATCGAATACCAGATGTACAGCTGCACGAGGGCAGAAAATGAAGTGACACATCAATTTCTACATGTAATTTAAGGATAGCCTGTGCTGTGGTGTTGTTTACACTTGGTTTCCTCTGGTGGTTTTGATGCTTGGCTGATGGTGATACTGAGAACAAGCCTGGGAGGCCCTGTGCTCTTTTTGCATTAAATATTAACAAATTTGGAGGCTGCTTTGGCTGGCTCTTGACTCTTGCAGACCTTATGGACATTAGTGTTCTGATCATCAGAGGACATGAGCTTGTGCTTAGCACTGTTGTTAGGCAAGTTAACATGCTTCCAGAGAGGAATGGAGGACAGCTCAGTTTCACATCTCCTCTCTGAGGAGACTTGCTCTGGCTGTATCTAGGTAGGAATAAACAACTCCCAAGTTTTCTTCATTATTTTCAAAAGACCCTCTCAAGAACTGCATTTTCAGTTCTGGGTATCTGCAGCTTCTCAAAGAAAAAATAAAGAACCAAGGCATAGCTCCTTGGAGCTCTTAGTACAGCTGGCACAATTCTGTGTCCTTAGTTGAATGCTGTCGGGTCTTGCTGCTTACGTCTTTGGTTTTAAGGTTAGTAGGCTCTTCTGTAATTAGATCTCTGAGTATTTATCCTGACCTAATTCAATGTGTTCTTTGTCAGTCTTGTAAATCCCCATCAGTAGCTGCCTGCCCATGGAGCACCAGCTTGTAGTGTGGCACAGGAAAGGTGTTCCCATTGGTGCTGCTGTTTTCCTGCCCCATGAAAGCACCGTGGCCCTGGGAGGAGGGTGTTTGTGAAGGAGCTCTTCACAAGTGACTGCTTGTCAACCACTTTTTGTCAGCTATCTTGACCAAAGCTGTCACTTGATGAGATCAAGCCAGAAGTTTTCTCCTTGCCAGGTCTCCATCCACTCTTTGCCCCTTTAGTTGTCATCCAAATATCTCCAAACCCTGGACTCACTGGTACTCCTGTGAGCCCTGCACCTGCTATTTTACTGCATTAACACCTCTCACTTTTCCAGGAACACCACATGTTTATTACTGCTTGGGACATAACTGTGGTTTCTTCCATGAGGTTTGGTGTTTCTGATCCACCTTCTTCAGTACAAAGGATGTGGCAGTGTCCTTTCCCTTTGCATTTCTCCATGAACCTTAGGGGAATCATCCCCAACAAAAGCAGCCAAGCTCTTTGTATCAAACAGCCTTTCAGACACCTTGGGATAGAACCACTGGGAGGACCTTAATCTTTGCTGCTCCTTGTCTCTCCCATCTCTTCTGCTGGTGTTACAACTAATTGTGTGACCCGGTTGTGAACTCCAGTGCCAGCAGGTCAGTGCAGGTCTGTATTCCTGTGCTTTTGCACAGAGCCTCAAACACCACAGCCCATCCTATCCCTCAGGCTTTGCTTTATAGTATGTCCATCATGTTAAAAAAAGTCTACATGGCCTCTGGCACCTGCCTTGCTGAGCTTGCTCACCACAGAGTCCTGCAACGGGCTGTGACAGCCCGTTGTGTCAGCAGGTGTTAAGTGAGGCCCCAGGTTGCAATTGCTGTATGTGGGAGTTTTTGTTTCTGGCCTGGTGGGAAGTTAACAGGTACCAGAATGTGTGACGTGCTGGTTGCTAGGGGGAGACACTCCTTATCTTCTGTCTTCTCCTTACATGTTTTAAACTCTGGACAAACTGGTGCCCCAGTTCAGCAGAGCACTGAGACACTTGTCCTACACAGCAAAACGTACTTACTTGCTAAGTGTGCACTCCAGTTCCATTAAGTGCTTTGCTAAACAGGACTGATTTTGATAACTGGCATCAAGATTGCTGGTGAGATTGAGTCGTTATGCCAAATACCTTGTTCAAAACTGTCACATCACTTTCATGTTCTTTTTTGGAAAGATAAAAGTTACTCTACATACAGAATAATTAATGTGATTTTTCCTTTGAATAGAGATTTGCATGTGCTTTAACTCCACCTCCTCTCCAATTGTGCTTTAGAAGTGCTGAGAGTATTCCCAGCAATCCCTGTGCACCATGGCACTGGAAGGAGCCACCTCTGAGTTGGGAAAATTCTTCGTTCTTACCATTTTGGTTTGTTTAAAACAATTAGCTATACTCTCCACCATCCCTCTGGGCACCCAGCCCATACACCTGCCCTTTTGCTGTGTCAGCCTCTGCACTGCCAGTTTCTTGAACCTTCTTCCACTATGAACAGGCACCATCAGAGGAGTGAACGCCAAGGGCCGGCAGTGGCTCGTTTGGCTCCACAAAGCAATTGCACTCGTGCTTCAGAAGCTGCACTCAGCTCAAGCAATAGCTGCCCTTCAAAAAGTAAAATATCATTCTGAAGGAGACTTAAGTTGTGTTTACTGATCTTGGGGCACATGTGGTATTTTATACAGTCGCAGGAGCATGATTCAAATAAACAACAACTCCTGAGACATACCTCATTGGGTGTTTTCTTGTCTTGCAGACCCCAAGTGGATTGTTGCTGACCCCGAGCCCACTGTTGTCTAGCATTCATTTCTGGAGCAGCCTCAGTCCTGTTGCTCCTCTGAGTCCTGCCAGGCTGCAGGGACCAAACACTCTGTTTCAGGTAGGTCTTTCCAATGCACAGGTTTCATTTCTGAAAGCATGTGTGGAAGAGACATCAGGGGAGCATCTCCTCACACCAGTCTGGAGCTTTTCAAATAGTTTAAGAAAATATGGGAGTTAAAAGACACGTTTAAGGAGAGGCCTATTTACCTGAACCCTCTCAATACCCTTGGCAGCACACCCAGAACCTACAGGGCAGCATCTAGTGCAGAAATAGATGCTGGACCCCAGTAAAAATAGGTAATCCTGCTCTCAGAGCTTCAGGAGGAGAGTGCAGACCAGCCAGGAGAGTGGTGCAACATGGACTATGGGTAAACCAGGAGCAGTTTGAGTTTCACACAGTAAGGTGTGTTAGGTTTATCCTTCTGTCTTAATGAACTACTTCTCACTCAGAAAGCCAGGGCATAGTTGTATTGACAGTCAGGGCACTCTGAACCTGAAGACTCCATTTCCAGTTCTCCAGCAAATTGTCTGTGTCCTCAGCCAAGATACTTGATGCCTCTGAGCATGACCTCTCCATATGTAACAGGAGAAAGGCAGCATTGTCCCCTCTCTCATAGTTACTGGGAGAGTATAAAATGTAGAGATGTGGTAAATACAGAAGTTATTAAGTCAACTGTGATGGCCACTGCACTCTGCTTCATGAAGCTATCACTCGAGGCCTAGGAAGTGGATGGTGGGGAAGGTATTAGCTTCAGCTGTAGCTGCTGCAAAACAGCTGCTTCAGTAAGTCACAGAAGAAATTATGCTGATCAGCTGATTGGCAAGAAGCCGATGGCCATCTGAGCAGCTGAAGAATGCAGGGACGCTCTTGGAATGAACTCCCTGACTGCTGTGGAGGTCCAACACTAGCAGAGGAGGGGACTGCTGCTAGACAGGGACCCTGTGTTAATCTCTGAACCTTGAGGGTGACTGACTGCCCAACTCCAGGGCTGGGCTTTAGATCAAGTGCTCTGCTCAGGTACAGTCTTCACTGGGGTAGTAAGTCCTCCTACCCTCAGTGGGACAGCTGAGCTTGGAGCCCAAGGACTCCTTGTTTGTGTTTCAGATAAACTCATTTATCCCCATTAGACCTTGGTTTTGCACATGTGGTTAAAAGCAGCCAGGCATTTCATTCGAGGGGGAAGTGTCAGTGCCAGGGCTTGTACGGACATTCGCTGCCACCCCCTGTGGGAGCTGCAAGTGAAGAGTGGCCTTGGCTCTCTCCCTGCTGAGAGACCCAAGGGGCCTTATAAACAATGTTTGATTCAGGCAGAGGCCACAATGACAAGTTTTTAGTGCACAGAGCTTCATTTTAGCAGCCAGATGGGAAATGACAACCACAGCTGAAGCCTCTCCAGCCGCACTGGGAGCTGCCGGGCTGGCCTGTGCGGGCGCTGGGGCAGAGCTCTCCCTGGCTGCCCACGCAGGCCAGGCCACCCTCCTGCTCCACACAGCTCCTCAGGGGACGGAGGAGAGAGCTGGAGCTGCTTCACAGGCTGCTTTTGCTTTCACCTGGTCACGTGCACCTGGAGTTAAAAGAACAGTTGTTGGTTGTTGGAGGAGTCTAAATCCTGCTAGCAGGCAGAGGCCAGGGCAGCTCTGCAGCTGCCTGCCTGCACCCCAGCCTGCTGGTGTGCGTGGGGGAGAGACTGGGTCCCATCTTTCTTTTTCTTTCAGGTATCCTCTGCTTTTTGCAATAGCACTGTGCTTGGCACTGCCTACGGTTCTTTAGTACTAGTCTTTGTATAGTACATGGACCAGGATAGCATCCATCCATATCCATGGTCCCAGGACAAGCATATGAGAAAGGACAGTCTCTCCTGTAATGAACCAGAGGGAGCCTGTTCTGGCACTGCTGGACACCACTCCCTCAGAGCCTGTAGATGCTTATTAACTGGTATTAACACGCCTTCAGTGTTTACAAGGTGAAGGCAACTCCCATAGACTGATGCCTGTACAGCCTGTGTAGAACATGAGTGAAATCTGCTGTCTCCTTCCACACAATTTACCTTGATACATTGAGCTACTTACAGAATCTTCCCTTTGAAGCCATACTAGCGTGTAATTAAACTTATTTTGGTGTTTTGTTATTAGTTTGAAATTACAACATAACTGGAACAGCAAGAGACTTGCACAGAATTGGTTAATTCAAAAAAATGCAGCCAAACTAAGAACAATCAAGTTAGCCTGAATTACCTGCTAAATTGGACATATTTGCTTTGTTACTGCTGTATGGACTGTAGCACTGAGAGGGTGCAGTCACATATGGAGGCATATGACTGAAGAGCATCGCCTTGGCCCCAGGGGCTACAGGAACATCAGGAAGACAAACGAGAGAGATGGGTTGGTTTAGAGGTCAGGGGAGGGATTAAATGATGACATTAGCATTGTCTGCATCTCGGACTGTAGTGCCAGCACGCAACCTGCCTTGACCAAAACCAAAGACCACATAATAGTGGTCCAGTGGACCAGTGATAGGACACATAACATAACACATATGGTCCACATAACAGTGGACCAGTGACAGGACAAGGGGTAATGGGTGCAGATTGGAGCATAGGAGGTTCAAGGTGAATATCCGAATTTTTTTTTTTACTGTGAGAGTGTCAGAGCACTGGAACAGGCTGCCCAGGGAGGTTGTGGAGTCTCCTTCACTGGAGACATTCAAAACCCACCTGGATGCGTTCCTGTGTGATGTGCTTTAGGTCACCCTGCTCTGGCAGGGGGGTTGGACTAGATGATCTTTCGAGGTCCCTTCCAGCCCCTAAGATTCTATGATTCTATGAACCCTCTTTTTATTAGTTTTAAAAAACACGTGTAACACGTTGTAATTTACATCTCTCTCTTCAGAAACCTGGAGTGGGAAAGCAAGAGCTTGCAATCAAGTCCTGTGTTTTAATGAGTCTTGGCAGATGTGATAAAGACATTTTTTGAGGTTCAGTTCCAAAAGAGGTGTCAGCCAGTCCTGGCCCCTCCAGGAGCCTGGTGCCAGCCCCCGCAGCGCGCTGCTCTGCAGGATTCGAAGTGGAACGCGCAAGGATAGATAATGTTAATTAACATCCTAGTGGTCGAGTAATCTTGTTATAAGCAGATTATGTGCACGTGTAGAGGTTGATTACACCACTGTTGGCTGTTGAGGGACCAATCTGATAAAGGGCAAAAATACAGCAGACACTTGAAGTTGGGAGCTCTGTTCTGCACTGTCTCTCCCAAGGCAACCAGGCCTGGCCTCTGGGCCCGATCCGTATCTGCCGCTGGGATAATTCCCACCTCATGCTGTAGCAAGTTTATTCCACCTACTTACTTTGCTTTTTCTCAGGTCAGATGTGAAGAACTAGTCAATACATGTCACTGCAGGCAAGTTACAGTCAGGATGTTGTAATGAACTAGGAATATAAGGCTTATGGATTGAATTTTTTGCACCATATTTCAGAATCAGGTTAATACTAAATTACCATGTATTCTACTTTACACACTGAATGATCTGGCATAGCTAGTTCATGGTTTCTAAGTGAATACAGAGGGAAGCTGGCATTACTTGTGTAATTTTCTCCACTTTTGTATTCACAACTGTACTTTTTCAGCCCTAAAACCACATCTCCGCTTTCACTTTTTGCAAAGCTCTTTCCTGCTTAGCTTTTATGAAGAGCAGATGAAAAGCATGGATTTTAATTAATAGTTTGCAAGTTGAAAAACATTTTTGGAAGCAGAATGGATGGCAAACATTGCTCAATAGTGCTGACTTTCCCAGGGTGACGACAGATGTATTGTTATGTGAACTTTTATGCAAAATGCAGCCAGTAACAGATCTGCACATCCCTGTATGTTTGTGAGTTACTCTCTGAAATTTCACTGTACTTGAGGGATTTCTTGGGCTAGATTTACACTTTTTTCTTCATGCTTCAGCCATACACAAATTACACATATACAAAAACTTTTATCTTAAAAATACAGCAAATAAAAGATTTGCAATTTGCACATCCCTGTATTTTTACAAAAGATTTGGGTTTCTTCCTCAATTTTACATTCCAAATGGCTGATGCAGGCATTTGGTACATATCTTGCTATATAGAAATGACAAGTCTTGAAAACATCTGGAGTGGGTTGCTAATGCTAAGTGCACGTGCTTCTGGGCAGAGTGCTTTGAGATTCAGAGTAATTTTCAACTCTTGGCCTCTTACAGTTTCCAACTTTGCTCAACGGTCACATACCAGTGCCACTCCCCAGCCTGGATGGAGCCTCCTCTCCTGTGCTGCTTTCTCCCAACGCTCAGAAATCCTGATGACGCCTCATCAAGCTAAGGACTTACTGGTGGATTTAACACTTCATTCCTATGGGTTAGTTTTTCCTGTGTCATGAGAAGGACATTGTGAAACCCTCTATTACTTTGGTTTGCACTTTTCATTACATGGATAGTCTACTTTTATTATGTTAGCATTTTTAAACAGTGTTTATATATGAAAGTATATATAAATCTGTTTTGCATTAAATGAATTATAATTTTTTTATATCATAACTCTCAAGTGTTGAACACTTCTGTTGTTGGTGAAGTACTTTTCTTAATGGATTGCAACAACGTATCTAATAAGGATGTGAAGCTTCTTTTTAATCCCTTTTTCTGCATATTATGCATTGTGCTTGAGTAAACTATAACCGGCTGTGCCTTCTTTTGCATAATGTCATGTAAATGATTTATATATTTTCTAGTATTAAAATGAAAAGTTGAAAGACAAAACTAGTATTGAACAGCCCTATGGTAGTATTCCAGTATTTTCTCCACGGATAGGCCATATGATGCAGTGTATTCATGTAACTTTGTATTAAGTGCTTTCAAATTGTATAAAAATAATAGCCTTATAATTTTTCTTTGCTGAAGTGAAAAAACGTAATCAATGTTACAGTCAGGAGATGCATTTAGGAGAAACAAAGCCACATTTATGCCCAAATTCTACTGTGGACTTGCAAGAGGGAGGAACTGGGCCATGTGTATTCATTCGTGAGACATTTCCAGCCCATGAGAATACTTCCGTAGAAATGGAGACATCGCTGAGAATTTATCTGGCGTGTACTTATGAGCTGTCAGCATTACAGCTGGAAAGACTGCAGGTAATCTCTGTCCTCCCGGGGAATGAGGATCATTCCCGATAGAATTTCCAGGTGCTTTTGTTCAGTCGTGCCAAGTGCCTTCTGCTATTTCCCTAGAAAGATTATTCTAGTTACTAAAGCTCAGAAGGTCGCATTCCCCATTCCCCCAAAGCTGGAAAAGTTAGAGGATTGTAAATCAATGCCTGGTGCTTGTGAAGAGGCATACTGTACATGTGGGATGTTTATGTATAAACATCTGAATTTCGGATTAAAAACCAGCACTGTGTTACTATATACTTGCAACTTGAATTTACTGGGTATGTCCTCTACCTTGAGGCAACGGCTGAGTCATCTAAATATCAGGTTAGGATTAGGCTAGACTCCCTGGCACCACAGATTCTAATCTTGGCAGGGCTGATGCAAATCTTCAGTCTTCTGAGGTAGCTAAATCAGGTTGAACGCAGCTTTACCATGTAGGTTTTTCAGATGAGACCTTCAAAAACCAAACCAAAATCAGAATCCTGTTTGCTACAGGTCATTACAGCTTCTACTTTGCTTTCTGGCCAAGTGGCTGGTCAAATGTCCGTTCTTTTTGAAATTTATGCCGTGAGTTGTCTGCTGATTTTCTGTTTGGATGCATTTCAGTGATGATGCGTGTAGTTAATTGTAAAGTGCTTTTGCATCCTTCAACCTGAAAGGTGCTAAATAAACATTTTATTAATGCAGGTCTGATGTTGAATGGTGATTTTGGGGGCAGAGGTAGTCTGACAAAAGACAGGAGGAATGTTCCTCAGGCTTCTGGGTTACACAACCAAAAATGACTCCTCAGTTTCACTCACAGTAATTAATGGGATAAAAAATTGCCGTATCTGTATGAAGTACCAGTGTTGATAAACAGCACAAGTAGATGCAAGAGATAAAGAAAAAGAATGAGACACACAGGAAGTCATTCACTTGATTCAGCATTTTAAGAGCCCCAAGAAGTGCCACCCCATGGAGTCAAAACCAGAAGATGAACCTGTGCAAAATTTAAGAGCAAAGGGAAATGCTGTAAGAAGTAAAATCAGAATGAGTTAGAAGGCAGCATGTAACTGATGGGATTGATTAGTCTAGTGGAGATTAAACCACAAGGACTCACAGATCAAACATTTCTCTTCAAAGGATTCCTCCCAGCTACATGGAATATTTTTTCAGTCACTAAGTTACAGAGAGGCAATTATTCACACTCTAGAGCCAACACTCGTCTTGGTTTTAAAGCAGCATGAATGCCTACTTCAGTAGTGTCTCGCCTGATACACACCAGTGCAGCTAGTGGGAGAACAAGGCTTAGACATTAAGTGATTCTCACTAGGAGTTTAAAAAGCAAAGGTAGATACTCATGAAAATGTGGTCTTTGACATCAGAAGTAGCACTGAGTAGGAGTCTGCAAAAAAAACCAAACATGAACAGGATGAGGGAGTGTGACAGAGAAGGGATTCTCAGAAGAAGCATCCAGAATCTCAGGATTTTGTTTCTTCCAAGGTTTTACTATTAGTAAGGTAGATTATTTTCTTTTCAAAAGGCTCAACACACCCACACCTCCCCTTCCTACCCTCCAGCCCCCTGAATGACTTCATTTTTATTTTAAAGATTGCAGAATAGTAGACATGGGACAAAAATATGTTTTAACAAATTACTGTAAAGAACTTAAGGGAAGACATCTAGAAATGGGAAAGCTGTGCTGCCTTCTCTTTGAGAGAATAAAAAATAACAATAGAACATATCTTCTGCTGGTTTTCAATTAAAAAAAAAAAAGGCTGTCAACTCTGCCTTCCAAATTGGTCAATTATGTGGAGCAAAATTTCTCTCTACTGCAAAGTTTTTATACAAATAAAATCCAGCCACTCAAGTCTAACACTTGCCTGAAACACTAAATTATCCCCTATGCTTCAAAGAAAATATCCCATTACTAATTTTCTATTGAATTTTATTAGCAGATATCTTCTTAACTGTAGAGAAAAATCAAATGCATGTTTGCGAAAGAAATACTGCAAAAGTGTAAGTATTTGTGGCATGGAGAGCTCCAAGCCAGCAATTCTGCAGAAATTAACTCTAGTTTTGCGCCCCAATCTGACCATACTTGAGGGATATTTCAGGTAGATTTACACTTTCTGATTCATGCTTTCAGCAATACACAAAAAACTTGTCAATATTACATCGGCTGGGTGCATGGTTAGGCTATTTTTGGCTTACCTTTACATTTTTGGGGTTTTGGGTGTTTTTTGTTTTTTTTCTTCAGAGAAGCAAGTAACCACTAGCAGGGCCTCAGCCAGTGGGTAGTTCTGCCAAGAGATAGCACACATCACCTGCCTTGGCACAGGTAAGTGGCTTCAATTCCAAAGAAAACTTTCAAAGTGGGGAAAACTGTGATGGGTGATAATGAACTACAGAAAAAGAAAGATTTGACACCTCCGTTACGTCAACAAAGAACAATTTGTTTTGTCTGAAGAAAACTAGTCTCATCAGACAGACACTTGCCAATCTGGAAATACCTACCAAAGAAGTTTTGAACTGTCAACAAGATGACTGTTGAAAGGAGAGATGGTCCTTTAAAACAGACTAGCAGTTAATTTTAACAGAATGAGGCTCTACATTAAGAGGCTTGTGTGATCCTGTGCCTAAAGGAAGCATCTTCAGAAGCCATCACAACCACCAAATTAGTTTAGAAAAGGCAAAGTAACTACAGGTAGTCTTCTATCTAAGGGCACCACTGCACCCTTCTGATCTTGAGACTGTTTCTGTATCCTGTAGCACAACAAACCCGGGCACTCAGATTTAAGGGTAACTCTACAGAGTCCTCAGAAAATTACAACTTCTGAAATCCCTTTTCGCCCCAAACTGCAACTGCTTTTACCAATTAGTATGCAAGTGCTCTGCCTACACAATGGAGTACAAGCCTGTTTCTTGGGGGCAAAGAGACTGAAAGCATTAGTGAGGAGGAGTATAAATTTACTTAAATAAGGAGAATGAACCTCAGGCCAAGACTCTGGAGCAATCAGCATCGTGGCTGACCTTGGGTGGGGGTCTTTGTAGAAAAGCATCCTAGAGGAGAAGACTCTAAGATATGCTGCTTTTTTTTTCTTGAAAGATTTCCACCAGTTTATGTTCACTCTGCAAGAAGTGTGAATAGATAAATGTAACCTTAATTATTCCTAACATGGCTCCAGGCCAGCTGCCTTCTGCAAATTAAGGAAAAGAAGATGGAAGACAGAGAAAAAAAAAGCCTTTGAAAAACAAGCTCAGGCTGTGAAAGAAGATGAGCAGGCAACACTGATGCTGCCATGTGGACCCTGGAGGAAGGTGCTCTGCAAGAGCACGCTGGAAAGGGGATAGAGAAAAGCATTCCCCTGTTTGCTATCCACAGCGATGGCATTTCCATCAGCAAGAGGATCCCAGTGCAGCAAATGAAGGAACTTCACAGCTCTCTGGGGAAAGATGTGTTTCAAGCTACAGCATCTGAGCTCAACAAGACTCGCATTTAATTAGGAGGACCATAAAAGCAATCTGCTCAGGCTTGCCTGCTTCTTAAGTGATTCTGGAGGATGCAGCCAGGACAATAAATTAAGCAGTTATTTACAACAGTGAGGACGTGCATATGTGTGCATTCGCAGTTTAAGTTGGCTCAAAAATTCCAGAGCTTAAATGAAGGGATTTTAGAAAACGTAAAATAATGGAAAATTCTAACGTACACGTTTTCCAGAGACATAAATCTTTTTCTTTTAGTTAATGAGAGGGGCACAGTAGAGCTCGATGAAAACAACACACAAAATGTTTTAAAAAAATCTAGAATAGCTAAACTCTAATCTTAGTTCTGACAACAGGATTTTCCATTTTGGACTGGAGAGTGACTTCTCTGCAACTAAACTCCACAGACAAAAAAGCTGTACGGTATGAATTACATTGCCCACGTATCTGCTTCACTTTCATACTCTGCAAAATCACCCTGCCTGTACAGCCGGAGCTTTACAATGCACCAGTTAGCTTAACACTTGTACAGTGCTTCCTTTATGTTTTATAATCTATACTTGTTATCTTATCAACCTCTTAAATTGTTCAGACATGGATGTTGGTGAAATACATGGATGTTGCTGACCCACATACAGGGCAAACAGTAGCCTCAAATCTCTTAAAAGCTGAAAAAAAAAATAATTAAAAAATCTTTAAAAAGCATTCAAGTTCCTCCCTAAAATCTAGGAATTTCATATAAATGTTCTGTTTGTTTCAAAGCCAAATGTTACTAAGGGAAAAAAGGTATTGAGACGTGGTAACAAAGTGCACAAATTATTTCAGCTCTGCCCCTTAGTGACCAGATAAAATGACCACATATCTGTGACCACATCATCTGATTGGATAAGTTCTAAATTTATTTTAGTGTCACTATGTGCCATAGTTGTGCATTTCCCTGGCCTTGTTTGGGTTTCCTTCAAGTCTGATCTTAATTTTGGATATTTCCTGGGTTTATAATACTCAGCTTAGGGATATTTATCTTTCATGTATTTTGTACTCAATAACTGCATGTATTCTTCACCATAATTCCATCACAAAACAGAAACAATATACCTTTATTACACTGAAAAACCCACGTGCAAACAATGAGCAATCAGCCCAAAGAATGCTACCTTGCAGCTTTTCAAATGATTTGCAAATACAAAGTATGTTGATTCTTTAATAATTGTTTATTTTAACTTTTATTGCCCAATTCAGGGATACACTCTGGCTACTGAATGCTGTGGTAAAGCAGCACAAAAACAACGCAGCTGTGTTGAGATGCACGTTCCACTAGAGCATTGCTGAGCCACTGGTTTGCCCCTTCCATCTCCTGCTCTGTCCTGCTCTGTAAATTCCTGTTCTTTCACCCACCTTTCCTCTCCATCAGCCTTCATCTCCATGTGCATGCAACATCATCACCACCTGCCTCATTCCTGTCTT